AGCCCAGACCTCTACTACTTGAACTGAAGCAGTGTCTCTCAACCGGTAGTATGAATACCCTTGGGGGTACTTGAGAGGAATCTGAGGGTACGTCAACACAACTGAAATTTGGAGAAAACTAAATTTGTGTTTTAAGTTTTACAGTGCTTTTATTATTTTTGTACTTTTTACACCCACACATTTCATTGCCCGCCCAGCTACGATTAAGTCTTGTAAATAAATGTGTTGCAATGGTAGAAAAAAATTGTGCGTGTCTGAAAACTGTAGGTGTTGCAGAGACGGCTTTGGTTTCTTCGACCTTAGGACTCTGTTCCAGGCACAAGGATTGTTAGGAAGAGATGGGATCCACCTAACCAAGAGAGGAAGGAGCATCTTCACAGGCAGATTTGCAAACCTAGTGATGAGGCTTTAAACTAGGTTCGTTGGGGGATGGTGACCAAAACCCTGAGGGCAGTGGGGAAGTCGAAATGCAAAGAGGAATGAGCAAGAAAACCATGATTCGAAAACCAGTTGATCGACCTGCTCTCTGTAATCTGAGGTGTTTGTACACCAATGCGAGAAGCCTGGGTAACAAACAGGAAGAATTGGAGGCCCTGGCCCAGTCCAAGACCTACGATTTGACTGGGATAACAGACTTAGTGGGATGACTCGCATGACTGGAGCACTGTCATGGAAGGGTATAAACTGTTCAGGAAGAACAGGCGGGGAGAAAATGAGGAAGAGTTCCACTGTGTGTAAGAGAGCACTATGATTGCTCAGAACTCCAGTATATAGAGGGAGAAAAGCCTGTTGAGTCTCTATGGATCAAGTTTAGAGGTGTAAGCAACAGCAGTGATGTTGTGGTTGGTGTCTGCTACAGGCCGCTGAATCAGGTGGATGAGGCTTTCTTTGGACAACGTAGAAGTTTCCAGATCGCAGGCCCTGGTTCTCACGGGGGACCTTAATCACACTGACATCTGTTTGGAGACCAATACAGCAGTACACAGACAATCCAGGAAGTTTTTGGAGAATGCTGGGGATAACTTCTAGGTACAAGTGCTGCAGGAACTGACCAGGGGCCGTGCGCAGCTTGACCTGCTGCTCACAAACGGAGAGCACCTAATAGGGGAAGTAGAGGTGGGTGACAACCTGGGAAGCAGTGATCATGAGATGGTAGATTTCAGGATCCTGACCAAAGGAAGAAAAGAGAGTACTAAAATACACACCTTGGACTTCAGAAAAATCAGACTTCGACTCCCTGGCTAAGTAGCAGTTCTGCAGACAGGACCTGGGGATTACAGTGGATGAGAAGCTGGACATGAGTCAACAATGTGCCCTTGTAGCCAAGAAGGCTAATGGCATACTAGGTTGCATTAAGAGGAGCATTGCCAGTCGATGATCCAGAGATGTGATTATTCCTCTTTATTCATCTCTGGTGAGGCCACATGTAGAATAGTGTGTCCAGTTCTGGGCCCCCCCCACTATAGAAAGGATGTGGACGCATTGGAGAGGATCCAGCGGAGGGTGAGCAAAATGATTAGGGAGCTGGAGCGCATGACCTATGACGAGAGACAGAGGGATTTGGGTTTGTTTAGTCTGCAGAAGCGAAGAGTGAGGGGGGGATGTGATAGCAGCCTTCAACTTCCTGAAGGGAGGTTCCAAGAGGCTGTTCTCAGTAGTGACGGATGGCAGAACAAGGAGCAACGGTCTCAAGTTGTGGTGGGAGAGGTCCAGGTGGGATATTAGGAAAAACTATTTCACTAGGAGGGTGGTGAAGCACTGGGCTGGGTTCCCTAGGGAAGTAGTGGAGTCTCCATCCCTAGAGGTGTTTAAGTCTCGGCTTGACAAAGCCCTGGCTGGGTTGATTTAATTGGGACTGGTCCTGCGTTGGGCAGGGGGCTGGACTTGATGGCCTGCTACGGTCTCTTCCAGCTCTATGATTCTACTGGGGGGACTTTTATTTTATTTTTTTGAAAAGGGGGTATTTTATTAAAAAAAAGTTTGAGAAACACTGAACTAAAGGAGTAACTAGTTGCAGTAGCAGGCTCTTCTCCTCTGTACAGGCACGCCATTAGTGTAGGGCTACTCATCTTTGGAAGCCCCGGGGACCACAATGATACTCTCAGCACATGCAGAGGGCTGCAACATAAGTGTGGTTGCATATACATGCAAATATAAATGCAAATAGCTTCTTTCACAAGGATAGGCATGAATACAAAGATTAAGGCAAGACTACACAACACACAGGCCCCATTTTAAGTCAGCTCTGCCGATATTAAAAAAATACAACATTTACCCGATTTCCATCCATATGGCAGCACTTTTAACGAGCAATGACAGTCCAGGAATTTAACTATTAAAACGCCTCTCAATAGAAGACAATTATATTGACTCCTTTTTTGCTTTGTCCCCCAACGGCAGGACATGTGTTGAGCCCTGCATAAACCCGAACTGCACCGTGGGATGCAAACAAACGGGCTGCGGGTTGAGTAGCCCTGCACTAGACACACACCACCGTGACTTGCACAATTATTTGCTGAGCGGCAAAGGACTGTTGGGATTCCGTCAGAATTCCTAGCTTCTACTTCAGACTGGAAATACGACTTTAACTATTAGAACAATTTACCAAGGGTTTACTATCACTGGTACTTTTTAAATTAAGATGGGATATTTTTCTAAGATCTGCTCTAGTTCAAACCACTAGACACACACCACCGTGACTTGCACAATTATTTGCTGAGCGGCAAAGGACTGTTGGGATTCCGTCAGAATTCCTAGCTTCTACTTCAGACTGGAAATACGACTTTAACTATTAGAACAATTTACCAAGGGTTTACTATCACTGGTACTTTTTAAATTAAGATGGGATATTTTTCTAAGATCTGCTCTAGTTCAAACAAAT